GGATGGATGGACAGATGGAGGAACACATGGATTAATGGATGGATGGACAGTATGGATGGACAGGATGGATGGACAGATGGATGGCTTAATGGATGGATGGATGATGGATGGATTAATGGGTGGATGGATGTGTAAACCTCATCTGTCCAACATCGTTCCAGAAGTCTTGGGGCTCATTCAGATAAAACCTTCTGACCTTCACCGTGTTCCGAGTTCTCCTGCAGTGCTTCCAAACAAGCCAGACCTCTTCAGTCTTTTTCTATTCATCTTGTCATGACCTTCAACCTTTACCTGAAGTCTGTAGAGCAGGACTGTTCAACTAAACTGCTCAGGGGGCCACAGTTACTGAAAGCCAAGAGCTCAGGGGCCGGACATCCAGCAGTTATTCTCTTTAAGTAAGCTTGTTTTATGATTTAAAATAGAGTTTTATTTAAAAATGAACCCCTGGATGGAACTGAGCACACCCGGGGGCCAGATTTGGACCCAGGGCCGCCATTTGAACAACCCTGCTGTAGAGTCTGGGATGGAGCTCATTGCACGGTCTGACCTTTGGGGTGGATTTGTTTTGTCTTCAGTGTTTCCTTCAAGTGAAAAATCTTTCTCTCTGTAAAACGATGGACTCCAAATAGTTTGAAAAATAACTATGACCCACGTTTTCTCCGGCAAACTGCTGATGGATCCACTATATTGCTGCCTGGTATTCTGAAGTATTTACAGTAAATGGTAAGTCAGGTCTTCTGGTGGAAAATTACAAGGCTGTTTGAACCCCCGGTTTTTAGTGCCGGCGACAGTATCGGGAGTTAATTTCACGGAGAAACTTCATCTGAAGTGCCGTGAGTAAACATTCTAAAGTGTCCCCCGGGTTTCCGTCCTAGATCAGTTTTTCCTACTTAACATTCTAAGTGAAACCCTTTAAATCATCCTGAACATCTGAACTTGGATCTGCTCTCAGGGGTACTTTTGATTAAAAGATCAAATTACCCAAGCCCATAAAAGCAGAGAGAGGGGCAGACTGGAGGGAAGGGGGGGGGGGGGGGGGGGTAGAGGTGCCGACAGGGTGGCTTTTTGAATTGATGGAGACGTGTGACCTCAGCCGACCCTGGATCCATCCTGTCAGCAGCTGGTTTGGACGAACAGTCCATGGACGTGATGCTCAGTTAACCCCAATCCCTTCAGCTCAGTTTCAAACTTTTGTTTTTCCAAACAGATTTCATGATGGAGACAAAGATAAAGGTGTTCTGATTTGAGTGAGAGTTGATTTAATGATCGATGGTTCCTCACCTGAATCAGACGTTCTCGTTGGACCAATTAACACGTGTTATTTAACGCCACACACCCTGCAAGCGCTGATCGGTTTCCCTCGTCGTCTTCGGAGCAGCGTCGTCTCTCGCTGGTCAGAGAACATCAAACGTTTGTGCGTTGACTGACGAGCAAACGCCCCAGGAGGGTTTCATCGGTCCAAACACAACCTGAAGATCAGCTTCTTCAGGGTCGGACGACGGCAAACACAGTGAGATGCAAAAGTATTCACCCCTTTTGGAGAACTTTCCAATCTGTTGCCTTAAACCGGGGATTAAATTGGATTTCTAATTCTTGACAAAAACAAAAACAAATCACCAGATTAATGATATTTAATGAACATAAAAGTGAAAAGCGGTGCGTATGTTTTTAGCCCCTTTGCTTTGAAGTCCTGACCATCACCTTCAAACGGTGCATAATTAGTTGGATAACCCTCCTGCTGCCCTCAAAATGACGCATGGAGCCTTTTCAGCAACAAGGGCCTTGGTTCAGCGTCTACTGCGCAAAGTGTCGAGTTATGTGGGTTGAATATATACACACACATTCTTATTCAGTTAAATGTGATAAATTAATTAAAAAAAAACAACTTGAGGCAACAACAATGAAAATATGGAGGAATACATTTGTGAGGCGTCTAAAATAACATGTGACCCGAGAAGCTCTTGTATTCCCTGCAGGCCAGTTTCATCCAGGCTGCCTGTAATATCTCAGGTCTAACGTAACGTAGCACCAAACACACTCAGACATGCTGAGCAGAGACTTCCTGTTGCTCAGCTTCCCTCCTAAACGGCCACTTAAAGGGAATAAAAGCTCAGGGAGCCCAGGGAAGGTAATTTAGTGGGTTGACACCTTTTAAATTAAAACTACAAATTCTCCCCAAACGAGAAGATAATTTGGTGGTTTGCTCGGTCCCTTTGTCTCCTGTTGCTGTCTATTATCTGTGCATTCATCACCGTGGAGCCAGGCTCACGCCGTCTCGTTTTAATTTGTGAATCACAGAACCAGGAGAGCTGTCGGAGCTGTCCGGTCTGTTCGTCGTGAAGCCGGAGAGTGTCACTGCTACGAAAGGTGACCTGCCTCCAAAAGCCTGAGTTCTATCCATTATAAAACAATTCATCCATCTTGACTAACGTCTGCTTGATTTTGTTGCTCACGACAGGGAGGGACATTACGTTTGTGGCTAAAGTGGACTCATCCAGCCTGCCGAGGAAGCCGGCGATGAAATGGTTGAAGGGGAAGTGGCTCGACCTGGCGAGCAAGGCTGGAAAACACATCCAGTTTAAAGAGTCTTATGACAGAGACACCAAGGTTGGTCTTTATGTGTGTATCTGAACATTGATTCATGCTTTGCCTTGTTAGCCAGGCCCCGGGGATCTTGTTGCTTTTCATTCAGATTTAAAGGCACTCACTTAAAACGACGAACTCCAGTAAACCAAAGGTTATCCCGAACTAGTGCAGTTTGAGTTTACTCAACTACTTCTCCAGATGTATCGATGCGTGTTGGAGAGAAGCACTTGCAAAGTCAGATATATACTATCATGTACATAGATACACATGAGAACCAGTCACAGAAAAAAACACCCCCGAGCTGCGTTATGCGCTCGCTTTTATACCTTTATCAGTTCAGCCGAGTTCACAGAGTTCAGAGGGTGTCCTTGGAGCCAGCCGCAGCCAAACATAGATAGACAGAGATAGTGTCTTGGGAGAAAGTTTCGATTATGTCTTGGGGTTCTTGTTCTCAGCCACAGTAATAAAAACATCCATAACCTTTGACCAAAAATTCTCAGACAATGTGCGACTCTGAAATGCAACGTAAACAAAGCACTGGGCTGAATCTACTGGAAACCACACGGACGTCACATGATTGATTAACCGGGCCGTAGCTTGTGTAGGTAAACAAATATGGCCGATACGTTCAACCTATATGTAGTCACTTTGATAATAAGGACAATAATTATGAAAATGAGAAAATTATTGTGCAGATTTAGTTTCTTTTTGAATTTCATCGTCTGGTTTTCATGACTTTGCAATGAGTGCTTTTAAATGTGCAAACATGTGCTCTGAAGGCAGTATTGCAGTATTTTGTGGTATTTTGAAACTCTGATGCCGTCCAACAGCCCATTCTCATTCACCTCACATCAACTCCTGCCATTTTATCAAAGTTCATGGCTTTTCTGAAACACCCGGGAGGCGTCGGGGCGCAGCCACTCCGGCAGAATCAGATTCAAGATCAAATACAGGCGAACATTATTCTGGACTGTTAAAATCATGTAAGGCTGTAAAAATAGAGATGGAGGAACATCACAAGGCTCAGAAACATAATTTTATCCAAAGCTTTAATTACAGATGTTGTAACCTCTGTGTGAACTTAAAACAAAAACCAAAACACAAGTTTATGTCGGTGTCAGAGAACGAGCTGCTCTGAATGAAGAAGCCGAAACAAAAGCCTCATTGACGTTTTGTCCAGAATTAAAAACAAAACCAACTGCGTGAAAAACGTTAAACGGGCGTATGAACGAGTGGCTCGTTACACTTTAACGGATGATACGACGTCACCTTTTTATTTCTGAATTTTGTTGGTTTTATGTCAAAAAGTCGGGATTTGAATAGTGAATGTTTGTTTCCTTTGAGATGAATGTTTTTCTGGACTGGAACAGGGAATTAAGTAAACCTATATGTTTTTGACAAAGGGTTGTAAGCTCAATCATCCAGGTAGATAACATAAAAGGTTAAATCGTGTCATCTGGACTAGTTTCTTTAAGTGAGAAACGTTTCGTTCCCCATCCAGAGGACTTCGTCAGTCTGCGGCCTGCCAATCAGATCTATTCCACAGGTAGCCTTCACTGCTGTGTTTCAAGCCAACTCAGAAGTAGACTTTTCACACATGCAAAACACACCCATCCAAAACAATAAACCATCATGTACAACACTCAGATGTTTTAGGCCAGATGACCAACTTGCTACTCACAGAAACAGCCTGAGGACACCAAGGCCAAAGTGGTTCAGAAAAAGGGTTGTAGGCTCAATCATAAATGTTTTTGGTTCAGGATGTTCAAGTGAGAAGGAGTTGCACTGTAAAAGAACAGAGGGAGGGTTTATTCTTGTCTGAGGTGGTGCAGCGACGAATCCTGGCAAGGAGGGAGACATTTTATCCATCACCAGGTGCAGTGGTGGAGCTAGAGGGTGACTAATGGTGGCCTTTGCCACCATAGAGTAATTTTTGGACACCCCAATCATTTGATGAAACTATTTTTTTAAGCAATATAAAAACTAGAAAGCAGAGCTTCCTCAAATAATTGGGGTGGCCAGTTTATATATATATATATATATATATATATATTTATATATGGTGCCTCACTTATTTTTCAAGTATGCTCACAACATGCATGGATGGATGGAGGGTATTTCCATTTCCCTTCGTTCTCTCCACATGGGTGGGCAATAAAGAGTGAAGATAAAAAGTAATAATTGAAACATAATTAGTGTACAATATGTATCTTTGAAAATTATTTTTTAAATCTCATTATCACAAAACTATCAGTTTTTAGACCATTACCAAAAGTTATTACGCCGAGGGATTTAATGTAATGATAATTGTCTGAAAAATTAATTAACAACGTCTAGTAGCTCATGGGATATTTTGCTGACACACTGACAGAGTTGATCCCAAAAGATGATGGCAAAGGTCATGTGATTTATTAGCACTCAGAGTTTGTATTAGGGATGACTCTCAGCCACCACCACACCAACTTTTAGTTCAATGTCTGTAAAATTGACCGAGCTTTATCCATTTTTGCGTTTGCTAATATATTCACAACATATCCATTTATGTTTTACATTTGGTGCACTAAATATATTTTTATTACATTCCCTGAATGTTAAATAATCCTGAAATAAAACACCCGCTGCTGCTGTTTTCATCAAAAACTCAAAATTGGTGGATAATCCAATAAACTTCTTAAAAGCTGCGTTCATCGTCGTGGGCGTGAGTGTGTGCTTGTGAGCACGTATTGCATGTCCGTGCACACGCGCGTGCGCCCAGGTGTGGGTTTTTTAATTGGGTGTGTTCTTAGCATATCGTCCCATCTCTCCGCCAGATCTACTCTTACGAGATGAGCATCATCAAAGTGGTGGACGGAGACGCAGGTGGCTACCGCTGCGAGGTCACCTCCAAAGACAAGTGCGACAGCTGCACGTTCGAAGTCTCCGTGCAAGGTAGGTCCGTGCACGGACACTTAATCACATTATTGTCATCTTCCATCCAGCATGTCTGCCGTTACTATGTAAGCGACTCTGTCAGCCAATAACTCAGTGAGTGCGATGCACATTAGGGCCCATCATTTAGTGGCCCTGTGAGGTCATCAGTTCATTATTCCTCTGCTGCTGCAGCCCTCTGCGTAATGAATTAACCTGGCTGGCCACTCACCAGCCTCTCTTCTCCTCCTGTCTGCTTTCAGCTGCACAAGAGGACCAGCAGGACAACATCTTGGAGGCTTTTAAGCGATCGTGAGTGTCAGTTTCAGCGAGCGCCGACTCAACGTGTCAGCCGTCACAGTGTCTCCCTCTGTAGATCGCTGCCTCCGGGCAGCTGTCAGTCTCAACCAGTGTCTGCACCCGCACGAGTGTCAATCCCTCACTGGTAGCAGACTCTGTTCCAGTCGGTCTGTTCGCCATCTCCCTCTCTTTCTGTCACGTCTCAGTGCGTCTGCTGCTTCATCTGGAGTTCCTCACGGTTAGCGTCTCGTTTACAATAAAAACAGGTGTGCAAGATAAAAACATAATGCAATGATTTGAAAGTTTCATAACCCGACCTTTTTTTTTTGTTCACTGTGGACCTCAGTAAACATATCAAATGTTTAAATTTAAAAAATATACAATAAAAAATGATTTATGGCAACATTTTGATATGGCAACAAAAGGCGGTAAAAGTAAACGATGCAAATAAAAAACAGCTGGAGGAACATTTTGCAACTAATTGGTTTAATTATCAACAGGTCAGTCAGAGGACTGGGTAAAAAAAAAACATGTCACAAAGGCTGAATCTCCCAGAAGTAAAGACGGGCAGAGGTTTACCACTCTGTGATAAACTGTCTAAACAAATGGAACAATTTCAGAATAATGTTCATCAGTGGAAACTGAAGACGTTGAAGCTCCCGTCGTCTACAGTTCATAATATAATCAATGATTTGGAGAATGAGCTCAAAGGACGAGGCTGAGAGTCATCACTGGATGGTCGTGATCATCGCGCCCTCAGGGGCCACTGCACTCAAACAGGTTCTGGGCTCAGGAACACGTCCACAGATCATAAAGCTCTATCAGACAAAGAAGAAGCCAGATGTGAACACCATCCAGAACAGCTGCCGTCTCCTCTGGACCAGAGCTCGTTTCAAATGGACTGAGACAAACTGCTCTGAGGTCAGATCAATCCAGAATTTAATTTCTCTTTGGAAATTATGGATTCCACACCCTCCAGACTAAAGTGTGGCGGGACCATCCAGCCAGTTATCAAAGCATAATTCAACTACCTGCTTCTCTGATGGTATGTGGGTGCATTATTACCTCTGCCATGGGCAGCTTACACATCTGGACAGGCACCATCAATATAAAAAGTATCCACAGGCTTTATGATATTCTCACATCCAGAGGATGTATTTTTCAGGGAAAGCCTTGGATCTTTCAGCAAGACCAGGCCGAACCACAGACTGTTTCCATTACAGCAGCGTGGCTTCATGGAAGAAGAGTCCTGGTGCTGATCGGACCTGCATGCTGTCCACACCTCTCACCAACTAGGTGCAACATGAAACCAAAAAAACCAGCAAAGATCCATGACTGAACAGCTAGAATCCTCCATCAGACTCCTCAGGTCCTGGATGGAAGTTCGTGTTTATGGGTTTATGAAATTCTCAAGTCATTGCATTCTACTTTTTACTTGCGTTTTCCACAACGTCCCAACTTTTTCAGACCTGGAGTTGTATTTTGTTACATGCTGTAGCTACTTTAAAAAAAAAAAAAAAAAAAAAGTAACTCTTTCTATTTTCGTCTCCACGCCTGCCTTTTGAAAACCCACCTCACCTTATAAGTATGTGCGCCACGTGGTTGCAAATCATCCTCGCTCCGACACATGGAGCTCCATATTTGAAAACATAATTCCCCATCCTTCATTAGAGAAGGAGCCGAACGGCGCAGGTAAGACGAGGAAGTCAACATGCAAACAGACAGCTTCATATTGTGGCTTGGACAGCGTCACGGAGCTTATTTGCAGAGTTCTGATTTGAGGGAACGATTGGGTGCAGGAGGGTGGTTGTGTGATAAATAAAAAGTGAGATGTTCGTTAAGACCTGACTGTGTTCAGGAGAGATAATATATGAGAAAAATGTTTTGTTACTTGGAGGTCATGCAGGTTTACCTTTTTGAGGGTAAATATCGAGGATCGCTCCTAAATGCACTGGATTTGACCACATTCTTTACCATAAAACTTTACTCTTTACAGCAGTGTTGCTACATTTAGTCTTTTTTATCTTCTTTTATTGGTTAAATTCACTTTTTCCTATCATTTTTGTAAACATTATATAAGCAGGCAACCGTTGAAATGAAAAGGCTGCTCTGGAGAATCTTTATCCTGCCTGATGATGTTCATCAGACATAACTGAGAAGACCTGTGTGTGGAAAAAAACAAGCTGCATGTTGGAAATATTGTCTGCAAGACAAGATGATATCAAGGCACAGATCCAAGGTGGCATTCCCAAATGTGTTGACCAGTCAGTCTTCAGTTGGTCAAGCAGCTAACCATTAAGGCAGTGGTTAAGATGTGGTGTCTCCTTGTGGGGATGAGATAATCTTACAGGATGACTTTATGGTTAAACTGATGCCTGTACTAAAGATCAAATGGGAATTAGCTAAAATTAGAATTCCCTCTCACACCAAGCAAAACAAAATAATCTAATATGTTACAATATAATAATTTTTCTGCACTCGCTCTCGTGCAAGTCAGATGCCTCCTCTCCCTCTCCTCTTCTCCTCCTGCTTTTTTTTTGTTGCTCTTTGTCTGTGTATATGAGCTCCTGTTACGCATCTTCCGAAACTAAAACTACTGCCATGGATCTGGTCAGCTGGACTTTCAACGCAATCGACAAAATCTTTTCAACAAAGTGACAGGGTCCTGGAGAGCCCTCATGCCCCATTGAGACTCATGCGGCAGGATACATCATGGATCCGTGGGGACTTTGGGAGCTGACGTGTCTTTCAGTTTTGTCGCAGGAGGACGCCGAAGATGTTCATATAATTGGATTCATGCTAGCTTTCTAACATTGGCAGATTCCTATGTTATCGGCTATTAAGGAAGACGGCAGCAGCAGTTTTGGCAAGGGCAAAACTACGGAGTCTGTGTGAAGGTTTGGTTCGTGCGTCGAGGACTCAAAATCAGCTGATTTGAGCTAACCCGTAAGATGGAAGCGATTTCTGAGAATCGCCAGCATTTTCGAGTCGACCTTGGAGGAGCCTCAAAGGCACGGACCAGAGGAATGCCCACTAATCTGGCCATTTTGGAAATTGAAAGTACCAGCAGGACTCAAGGCTGACAAGACAAAAACAGTCTGTCTGGGGAAAAAAAAAAAAACAATTGAGGTTTATCTGAATTTTACTCCCCCGGTTGGCCTCGAAAACAGGCAGACTTATCAAATTTCTCCTGGGATATGTGTAAACTAAGTGAAAGCTTCGTCTATCGCAACCCACCCCCCCCCGAGAACTTCTGTGAAGGCTTATCAAAACTGTGCTGGCTGACCAACATCTTATCAGGACTATGGTCTAACTGGAAGTGCTTCATGGACAAATATCATCATCTTGCCGTCAAATGCATGTGATGTGTTTATAAATGTGCTTGCTGCTAGAGATTTTTGATGTTTTAAATTGTGTCCTGACAAGCACAAGATGTGGAGATCTTTTTTTGTAATACCACTATCCTGTCCTCATGGATTTTTCCCCTCTTCTATCTTAAAAAGTATTATGAAAAAGGATAAGGGGCCGCACACCAGTAGCAGCAGCTACGTGCACTCCGCCCATCTTTCGGACGACTGTACGAACATAATTTCCTCTGTGTTTGGGTACAACAATAATAAAGCTAATTCTGATGTAGGAAATTGTTATATTTTTCCTGAGACACTAAACTTTTTATACCAAGTTGGATATCGGTGAGGTAAACTTTATTATTAGTAGTAATTTTATGATTGGTAATAGCTTTTGTATTTAGCTTCACAACATCAGAAAAACTCTGACCCCTGAGCAAATCTTTCCTGCTGTTTGTGTACGTTTCATACTGATCCTGTTTCTATGCTCACCTGTGAAGCACCCCCCACACACACATTAAACAAGTGGATTTGTAACTCCGGAGCAACTCAGTCGCAGAGCTGAAGACAGCGAGCTGCTCGGTGTTATGACCCATTCAGACACCCGAAGCAGGGCTCAGGTCACAATTCTGCACGTTACCAGGAAGAAACGCCACTAACAGCTGCTTAAAACATGCAAAACCTGCAGAGTGAAGTCAGCAGATAAACACGTGGGAACTGAAAAACACGCAGATGACTTGAAGCTTCGGGGGTGGGGGGTGGCAATAGTCACCCCTAATGGTGATCCCCCCACTTGGCCAGCCAGTTTGATCTTCTTGAACCCTAATCTTCTGCTTGGTGTGCATTTTTTATTTCATCAAGCTGTTCAGGGTTAGAAGAACCTCTTAAACATAAAAACAAACACAGCAGGACTTTCGTGGCCTCCCCATTAAAGAATTCTGGAGGCGCCACTGCTCCTTTTATCCCATGAGATTCTGTGTAACGTCGTCATTGCTCAGCATAAAACGATCTCAAACCCTGGCATGGAAGACAGCGGGCGATATGCATTAATCCATAAACGGAAGCAGTTTGAATGAGTCTGAAATATCTACATCATAAAGTGTTTAACTCTTACACATCCTGAACTCCTCGTTGTATTTCTAAGCTTTTCCAGATCTTCTCCTCTCTTCAGCGTCATCTTCTCTGACTGGTTGGGCGACCAAAAATCCTTCAGCCAGAAAATTCCCATGAAACGTGCATTGTCGTCTGACACGGCACTCTGGGATCGTTTTGACAGCACTTTTTTAGTATTCTTAAAATACTACACTGTATTTATCGTCAGAAAGAAAACGTGATGCTCATTTCAGCCTCTGGACTTCATGTTGGATGGGTTTACTCAGATGTGAAGACCAAACGATGGACATTTTCTTGACTGAAATGTGCCAAAGCATGATAAAAATCTCATTTCTGTTGTTTCCAAAGGAGGAGGGTGATGGACTAATGGCACTGATGCAACACGACAATATTTAAAACAATCCATTTCAGATGTGAAAGCTTTAATCCAGGCGGAAAATCGCAGTTAATACGTGTGAGCCTGTAGAGTCTGCAGGAACGTGTCTTAACCCTTAAAAGTTACACACGAAAATTCATTTGTTTGTTTTTCTGTCGCCACATTTACACAAGACGAGGCTTTTCACATTAAACGTTTGTCACAGACTTATGCACACACAGCCTGACCCTCGTCTAATGGGGTCAAGTTTCACTGACGCTGAAAAAAATCTCTCCTTCATTTTCTTTCTCGGTATTTGGCGTCTAATGATGGCTGCCTATCAAAATGCTCCACACTGTCTCCAAATGGCCAAGCGAGGTGGATTTACTTGAAACGCAGTCGACGCTGAGCCAAGCTGACATCATTTTCATGCTCATCCGACCATTTGTTGCCTTGTGAGCAAGAACAATTTCACCCAAAGAGAACTGACTCCCATCAGAGGATGGATGACGTCCTTGGATAAACTGTTCAGCTGTAAAACAAGCATGATCATCTAGGATGTGGGTGAATCTACGGGCATTTGTTTTGGCCTCGGACGTGTTAAATTAACTCCGAACATACGAGGAGAATGTCTAGACTTCACAGATGAGGGTGTTAGGCACCGCTGGTCACCTTGTTGAGTGATTGATAACACGAGACTTGTATCTCCTTCTATGTCTGCTTCTGTGCACTTGAGTTACTGAGTTCCTGTTAAATACAGATGAAACTCTTTAGTTTGTTTTTAAAGCTTTGACCTGGTTTATTTTTCTGAACTTCTCTGTATTTATTGAAATTCTAGATATCTTAGATTTTCTAAACAGGTCCATTTAGAAGTTCAACCTTCTAGATTAGGAGTGAAACGAGATCTTGTGTCGTGACTGGAACGTCACGAGTTTTCCCGTCCAGATGAAAACTGCCTCGACCGAAATTAGCACTGACAATTGTCCGTGTGGCTGTTGATGAACAGGTCAGGCACTAGGACCGCAGGGCCTCTCACTCGAGCCAGGTTTTGAGTAGCTTCTCCTCCAGCCTCTACAGCTACGTGCTGTGAGGAAGAGTCTCTGATGCACATTTATTTAAAACAGGCTGGGCTAATGCTGAGTTCATTTGGTGGTTTGTTGACTTTAAAGGTGGAGGTAATTCATACGTTCATACACTCGCTCTCGTGCAAGACGGACGCCTTTCTTCCCTCTCCCGTCATTCTCCTGCTTTTTTTGCTCTCTGTCTGTGTATCAGAGCTCCTATTTACACATCTTCCGAAAAGTAAACTACTGTCATGGAGCTGGTCAGCTGGACTTTCAACGCAATAGATAAAATGTTTTTCAACAAAGCGACAGGGTCCTGGAGAGCCCTCATGTCTCGCTGAGACGTACGCCGCAGGACACGTCATGGATCTGATGCGCCTGTCCGTATTCTTTCAGGAGGACGCCGAAGATATTGGAATCAGGATAGCAGGGTTTCTGCTTTTTGGCACCGGCAGATACCTATGTTATCAGCTATTAAAGAAGACAGCAGCAGCAGTTTTGACCATGGCAAAGCAGCCGACCATGTGTGAAGGGCTGGTTCGTGCTTCGAGCACTCAAAATCAGCTGATTTATGAGCTAAACTGTAAGATGGAATCGATTTATGAGAATCGCAGGCCACTTGCGGCTTCTGGGACTCGCCAGAATGTTGGGGACGACCTTGGAGGGGGCTAATAAGCACGCACCAGGGGAACGCCCACATTTCTGTCCATTTTGTATTAAAATTACCAGCAGAACTCAAGGCTGACGAGAAACAACAGTCTGCCTGAAAAAAAAAATCAACAACTGTGGCTTATCTGAATCTGACTCCCCCGTTTGGCCTCAAAGCAGGTTGACTTATCAAATTTCTCCTGGGATATGTGTAAATTAAGAAAGCCCTGTCTATCGCAACCCCCCCACGAGAACTTCTGTGAATTCTTATCAGAGCTGTACTGGCCGACACCAACATCTTATCAGGATTATGGTGCTATCTGGAAGTGCTTCATGGACAAATCTCACCATCTTGTTGTCAAATGCATATGTAATGTGTCTATAAATGTGTGTCTATAAATGTGCTTGCTGGTAGAGTTTTTGATGTCTTAAATTATGTCCTGACAAGGACAAGGTGTGAAGAGATCTTTTTTGTAATACCACTATCCTCTCCTCGTGGCCTTTTCCCCTTTTCTATCTAAAAGAACAAGAGGCTGCGCTCTTATGAGCAGCAGCAACGTGGAGTCCGCCCAGCTTTCGTACGACTACGAACATAATCTCACTGTATTTTGGTACAATGATAATAAAGCTTTCATCTACGTCTTTTAGCCGAGGTCAGGCTTTTATTTAAAAACACTGTCCTGATGTGGAAAAGGCCATTTGTGTTTTATCAGCTCGAGGCTTGACTACTGTAAAGCTCTTAATGTTGTGCGAACCCAGTCCTCCCTCAGCTGTGTTCAACTTGTCCAAAATGCTGCTGCTCATCTTTTAACTCACAACTCCAGGCGTGCGCAGATCTGTTCTATTCACTCTTCACTGGCTTCCAGTCCAGCTTTCAGCTGATTTCTGTTGTCTGATGTTTATATGTTGCTTAAATATCATTTGTTTCCCTTGTCACCGAAACTGATATAAACTTTGAGTCCATTTAAAGAGTTCTGCTCCATTTTCACACCTGTCCCTTTTATTAATGTATTCATTTAGAGCACAGGATAAAACGGGGATAAGTTTTAACTATTTCTTATTCTTGTCGTAGTGTGTGTGCTTATTTTTAGTTTGTTGCAATGAGGAAGAAAAAGGGATTTATAAGTGAATATACTAAATCTCTTCGGTGCTGATGGCTCTCTTTTCTATTTGGATAGTAAATGCAGTAAAACGGATCCAGTGCACCATAATTAATCAGAAATATCTTCTGTTTCCTCCAGCGGTGATGCAGATGAGGATGCTGGTGACCTAGACTTCAGTGTGTTGCTTAAAAAAAGGTAAGCGTGTTTCCAGAGACGCTCCTTTCCCTTCATCTGTGTCGAGTTTGATTCTTGTTTTCAGTGCGGTTCAACGTTTGCATTCAGGAAGGAGAAGAAACAGCAGGAGCCGAAAGAGGAAGTGGATGTTTGGGAAATCCTAAAGGCAGCCAAGCCCTGCGACTACGAGAAGATTGCCTTTCAGTACGGCATCACGGACCTGAGGGGCATGCTGAAGAGGCTGAAGAAGATGAAGGCGGAGCAGAAGAAGAGTGACGGTGAGGAGCCGAGGAAGAGACGAGACAGATTTTATGAGGCAAAAGCAGACGAGGAAGGAGGCAGTGGGGGGAAATGAGAGCTCTTTAATGCATTAGGCTGTAAATACTGGCAGCATTTAAAAGGCCTCAGGAGAGACGTTATACAGCCGAGATGACAGGTGGAAAGTGTGTCAGGTCGGCTCTCTTGGATTATTTTACTATTAAAACTAGAACTTTCCTAACATCATTCTTTGTTCTCAGCTTTCCTGACCAAGCTGGATTCGGCCTACTCTGTGGAAAAGGGGAAGAAGATCCAGCTGACAGTGGAGTTGGCTGACCCCACAGCTTCAGTCAAGTGGCTCAAAAACGGGCAGGAAATCAAACCATCGGCCAAGTGAGCTGCTGTAGACTCCCCCGTGTGTGTCTGTGTGAAAAATAGCAGAATAAGTGGGAAAAAGTGGCCGAAGGTACAGGATGGAAGTTTGTCGCAGTTACAGAAATTATTAGCGTCAAACACGTTGATGACTATTGGTGCAGTTAGGTTTCAACACACCTAAAGTTTCACTTTGTGTTAAAAAAAATTCTCACTTTTTCACCCAAAACACCAAATGTTGAAGCCAAATCCACATTTCTGGATGTCAGACAAATACCGATTGCAATTGACTATCGCGCATTTTTCTGGCTGAACACTGAGAATGTTGTGCCTCCTGACATTTCACCGCCTTTAATGTGACCTGATTTACATCTTAATTTTACATCCTTCCTAATTTATATCCATTAAAGTTTTCAGGAAATAATAATTCCAGCAACACCGTTCACTTCAAACTAACACTACGCTCACACCGCAGGGCTTGAGGCTCAGTTCTAACTTTTTGCTCAGTTTTGTTGGCGTGGCCGTTCACATTATAATTAAAATGTGAACTCCAGTGTGAACAGTCCACGGCGCTGAAGTGACCGCAGATGAAGACACAGCACGCCGTGTTTGCAGAAGGAAATATGGACGTTACATGTTAGCAAGTGTGTGCAATCACATCATTCATGAACAATATGAACAAATCCTTCTGCTTCCTGCATTTCAACTATCGATTCCATCAGGTACTGCTACAACCCAACATGTTGGTGACATTCTGCTTTAATGTAGCTGAACCCACGTGCAGGCAAACGACGGGAGACTCCAGGTCAAAATAATAAAACTTTATTTTTACAAACAAAACGAAAAGCTGACGGGGCAGCAAAACTTAGATTTAGGGAGGAGATGAGGAGAGGAACAGAGCTTGACAGCCACAATGCACGGACAAAGGAGGAACACAGAGACTTTAGACAGACACTTACGAGACATGATGACAAACACCTGGGGGGGGGGTTGGAACTGGAGACAGGTGTAACAGGAGCTAGAGTTGCATTTGGGCCCAAAAAATTTGGCCCGACCCCAGCCCGTAGCCATCATTTCAGAATCCCACCTGACCCGACGTATTAACAGTAATTATAGGTCCGATCCCGATAAAACCCTGACATTTTTAATTAAGCTTTGTCTGCTTATATAGTTATTAACGGTTGAGGGGGCAGAAGATCGGAGCTGAGGGGGCGTTTGTCCTTTCATGGCCATCAAAGTGCATTAGATCCCTGCTTCTGCCTTCATTCTGCATTATGCAGACATGGACCATGCTCTGACATGACAAATATTTTGTGATCTCATGTGTCTGGACTGAGTGCAGCAGCTGAATGAACGTCCATTTGGGCTGCTGGATCGCTGGCAGTAGTCCATCTGAAGCTTAACTGATTTTTTTTTTTTGTACCTCTTTCAAGGCCGGTCAGCATGCAGTCAAATGGTAACGTGCGGCTGGTGATTGTATGGCAAGCCATGTTGCTATATAATTGGATCGTCAGCCGTGCGCAGCCGCTGACGCAATCAAAAGCCCAACACCGACCCAGTCTGCACATTATTATGGTCCGGCCCTAACCCGGGTTGGGCGGGGCTGGGCTCCAGGTTCGGGTTAGAAATTACAGCTCCTGTCAGGAGCTGACCAACAAGGAGGGGGAACAGGAGGATTACGATTACAGAAATGACAGAACAAAACCCAGAAATCACCACAGTTGGTGTGGTAACATCATATGTTGGAGTAAACTCTGTATTTCAGGACAGATCTAAACTGTTAACGACAAACAAACTGGACTTCTGTTCCTCTACGTGTGACGTTCAAGCTTTCAACTGCACGACGTTGGTATCAACGCTTGGCTCGATCTACCTCACTGACGTCAAAGTCTGGTGAAATGTGACAAAACCGCTCAGACTGAGGTCGCTCTGAAAAACGTCAGATTTCGATTTGGCACCAAATAAGAAAAAGACCTGGGTCAGATTAGACGTGATCTGGAGAATATGAGCAATAAATAAATAAATAAATAAATACAGATTTGAGGCGTTGCCTGCATGTGATCGCAGCCTTATTGGATCTCTTTGGCTTTGTGTCACGTCTGACAGTTTTACACAGTATACATGTTGGTGTCGAGCCCGTTGTACCCGCTGGGCTTCGTGCAGCGTCTGCATCCCCGTCTGCTGTGCTCTCTTTCCTCCTCCTTCAAAAACGTCTTTTGGTGTTTTATTGAAGAGAGTACAGCTGTTCGAGTGGTGTTTCTTCAACGTCTCTCCACCATCTGCTGTTCTGAGATCTTCATGCTGTTCACAGAGAGGGAGGAAGGCCCTCTCCTGTCAGGATGAAGAGGAGGAAGAGGAGACTTTTATTTTGGCTCATAGCTGAGCCTCCCCCGAGGGTTTTTCTGGCTGCTACCAGAAAGCTCTAAAAAGACGTTTCCTCTTTTTAAAAACGGTTCTTTTTGCATCACGCCAAAAAACAAACAAACTAAAAAATAAACAATAATAAGCCAGAAAAGCTTTTGTACATAATAGTTAGGAGAAAAGACTTTAACTACTTAACAAATACAGAATCCAAATCCAGCTTTACTAAAAATGAAATGTAAAATGATGAATTGTTTTCATGAATTCAGTCGTTTGAAAATTTGCAGGAGTGAAACGCTGAACTGCGGTGTCGCTTTAAAATGTTATTAAAAAAACACAACAGAGACCCTGAAGCCTTACAGCAGGGGCGTCAAATATAAAATCATATTACTGTGGGTCAATATTTAATAAACATATTCTGCAACATGTCAAACTATTCAAATAGAAATGTCAATAACTTCTTTAACGACATCAACTTTAGAGTAAATATAATAAATGTTGTCAGGAAGAGACTAAAACATGATTTTTCAGAAAAAAACAACAACTTCTTGTTATAAATTAAACTCTGAGGTCACTTGTTCATAAATTAATTTTTACTGCCCTCGAAGCACAACTTCAGTCAGTCGGAAAGTTTCCAGGACTCAAACGGACAAATCTGGAAAAAAGATCTGAAAAGCACGTCAGTTTTTATTTATTCTTATTTCAACAAAGCTTGAACAGAATCATATTTTTTAAATTTAGCACCTAAAAATTACTTTAACGCTCGTTTTCTGTATTTAATATTGTATTTTTGTTGGGTGTGTTTAATCTGAAAAGTATCACAAATGTTTAAAGAGCCCAATGTTTTATTTTTAGTAATGCTAAAAATAAATTTACTCTCTCTCTCTGACACATAACTACAGGTGCTGGTCATAAAATTAGAACATCAGGAAAAAGTTGATTTATTTCAGTAATTCCATTCAAAAAGTAAAACTTGTATATTATATTCATTCATTACACACAGACTGATATATTTCAAATGTTTATTTCCTTTAATGTTGATGATAATAACTGACAACTAATGAAAGTCCCAAATTCAGTATCTCAGAAAATTAGAATATTACTTGAGACCAATTAAAAAAGTATTTTTTAGAAATGTTGGCAACTGAAAAGTATGAACATGAAAAGTATGAGCCTGAAAAGTATGAGCATGTACAGCACTCAGTACTTGGAGCTCCTTTTGTCTGGATTTCTGCATCAATGCGTTGTGGCATGGAGTCGATGAGTCTGTGGCACTGCTCAGGTGCTATGAGAGCCCAGGTTGCTCTGATGGTGGCCTTCAGCTCTTCTGAATTGTTGGGTCTGGTGTATCACATCTTCCTCTTCACAACACCCCATAGATTTTCCATGGGGTTAAAGTCAGGTGAGTTTGCTGGCCAGTTAAGAACAGGGATACCATGGTCCTTAAACCAGTTACTGATAGCTTTGGCACTGTGTGCAGGTGCCAAGTCCTGTTAGAAAATGAAAACTGCATCTCCGTAAAGTTGGTCAGCAGCAGGAAGCATGAAGTCTCTAAACTTCCTGGTAGATGGCTGCGTTGACCTATGACCTCAGAAAACACAGTGGACCAACACCAGCAGATGACATGGCACCCCAAACCATCACTGACTGTGGAAACTTGACACTGGACCTCAAGCAACGTGGATTCTGAGCTTCTCCTCTCTTCCTCCAGACTCTGGGACCTTGATTTAAAAAAAAAAGAAGCAAAATTTACCGTCATCAGGGAACATAACTTTGGACCACTCAGCAGCAGTCCAGTCCTTTTTGTCTTTAGCCCAGTCGAGATGCTTCTGACGCTGTCTCTTGTTCAAGAGTTGCTTGACATAAGGAATGCGACAGCTGAAACCCATGTCTTGCATACATCTGTGCGTGGTGGTTCTTGAAGCACTGACTCCAACTGCAGTCCACTCTTTGTGAATCTCCCTCACATTTGGAATGGATTTTGTTTCACCATCCTCTCCAGGGTGCGATTATCCTTATCGCTTGTACATTTTTTCCTACCACATCTTTTCCTTCCCTTCACCTCTCTATTAATGTGCTTGGACACAGAGCTCTGTGAACAGCCAGCCTCTTTAGCAATGACCTTTTGTGTCGCCCTCCTTGTGCAAAGTGTCAATGGTCGTCTTTTGAACAACTGTCAAGTCAGCAGTCATGATTGTGAAGCCTACAGAACTAGACTGAGACCATTTAAAGGCCTTTGCAGGAGTTTAGAGTAAATTAGTTGATTAGATTGTGGCACCAGGTTTCTTTAATATTGAACCTTTTCACAATATTCTAATTTTCTGAGATACTGACTTTGGGGTTTGCATTAGGTGTCAGTTATAATCATCAACATTAAAAGAAATAAACATTTGAAATATATCAGTCTGTGTGTAATGAATGAATGTTATATACAAGTTTTACTTTTTGAATGGAATTACTGAAATAAATCAACTTTTTCTCGATATTCTAATTTTATGTCCAGCACCTGTATTTGCGTGATTCATAGACAAATACTTTGAACTCATGCACGTCCAGAAGTAACTTCCTGCAACAATAAACTCTGCCCATTTTTGTCACCTTAATAATTTTTTTTTTAAGTTTAAAGTTCTAGATCTGCCACATCAAAATCAAAACTTACAGAATCATTCAAACCTAAATTTCGTCACTAATGTGCTCAGTTTTAAACAAGAAAAAGTTTTGCAGACTCAGGTTCGAGGACAAGTTTCAACACATTTAACATATTCTCTCGCGGGTCAGAGAAAACTGTAACGATGGCCGCATGTGGCCCATGAGCCTTAAGTTGACGTGTTTACAGCGCCGTTAGTCTCCGTTAAATAAACACTTATTAACTCTGAGTGGAGGAACTTTGGACACCGATGGACTCTGAAGTGTCCGATGATGCAGGTTTCAGCTCGTAACCATGGCGATTTTCATCTCCGTTACACAAGACAACTCTGAAGCCTTTTGATGTTTGCCTCTAACGTTTTACAGTAATCTGAATGTGTGTGTAGGAGCTGACATTGTGTGTGTGAAGGTCTGTGGGAAAATGTGCGTATTGTTGAAGACTGACTCACTCTGTTGTCACCAGCCCGATTTACTGAACGCATTCATTCACTTCTCTCTCCAGGCTTTGACTCTTTCGTTTTTTATTGTTGCGTGGTCTTCTCCCCTCACGGCAGGTATGTGTTTGAGAGCGTGGGCAACAAGCGGTCACTCACCATCAACAAGTGCAACCTGTCGGATGACGCGGCGTACGAGTGCGTCGTCGAGGAGGAGAGGTGCTTCACGGAGGTTTTTGTCAAAGGTAGATGACTCACCGAGGCTTTCAGATGAACGCTCAGACGGGGGACGATTTTCTGCTCCGATGAGCAAACGTTGCGTGTGGGGAGGCCTGACGGTGTTTTCTGTCTGCTCACTCATCTTTAATGGCCTGAAGAAGGCTTGTATTGCCACAGATTAGTGTCTGTGTGCTGATGAATTCATTAGAAACTGATTTATTGTTTTAGAGGACGTTGTGTGTATATACAGAGAAAAGTAAAACGTCATTTTTCTTGCTATTTTCCTTCCAAGCAGATGATTTTTAACTCGTTTGAAGTGGTCTTGTTAGTATTTTTTGTTTTCAGCTGCTTTTTCTCCACTTTTCAGTCAAACACCTGAGAAATCTGTTAGTTGGTCAGAGCACCGAATCATTTAGGCATGAAAAACGAGTCCTAAGCTCAAGGAATGAATTCAAAAACCAGCGGTTTCTGATGTTATCAGCCATTAAGTGGACGTTATTAGTTGTATCATTCCCACAGGTAGCGTTCAGACTGTTCCCTCCTACCTCCTAGTAGGTTTAAAAGTATGTTTTGACCGGTGATAATATGCATCATGGCTCGTGAGTAAAACCGGAAGTGTATATTAGTTAGCTTTATGTAACCCTTTTCCTAAACCTAACCATACAGCTGACCCTGAGCACTGACCCTAAACTTAACCCCCTTACCCTTGACTCTTAACCTAACCACGTGACCGCATAATCAGCGATAAGAACGTACCTTTAAACCTACTAGGAGGTAGAGGAGGGGCAGTCTGAACGCTATGTATATGGATGACAACAAATAATAACGGCCATTTAATGGATGATAACATCTGAAGCGGGTGCAAAAACTCAAGGATGGACCAACGGGAACCCAGTTTGATCAAAGTAATCCCAGCAGCAGCAAACCGTCTGAGCAGCACCCTCAGATAAGATGGAAACGCCCTTGAAAATGAGCTTTCTCGAATCAAACAGTTCCTTCGTGTCTTGGGTCCTTCTTTTTTCAGTCCAGCCTCAGAACCTTGAGCACCATTTCTGATTCAGCGACGGCTTTAATAAAAACACGTAAATCCAACAAACTACAAACTGTCACTTCCATCTCAAGAATGTCTCAAAATCTAAAGGTTTCTTGTCCAAAATTGAATTTGAGGTGATCGTTCATGTGGGCTCAGCTTGTTCACGTAAGCGAGGAGCCGGACCGTCTTCAGGTCGTCCAGAACTCAGCTGCAAGACTCTATCGAGCTCGCATCGCACGTGTTTTAACTTCCTTTCACTGGCTCTCGTTTTAAAATGATAGTTTTCATTTTTAGAGCTTTGCATGAACAAACTCCTTCTCATGGATTCAGCTCCGTGCCCTGCAGGTTCAGGTCAACAGGTTAGATGTTGTTGGTACCAGTGAACCTGGTGCTAGAGGGCGGGCCGGCTGGGCCGGGCTGGCCTCATTCAGGACACCCCCCCCCCCCACCCCCCAAGACAGATTACACTGTGTAAATAAGTTGAACCTATGCAATGAATTGACTCAAGACAACCAGCAGAGGGTGCTGTAGGCGATTAAACTGAACTTTTGTGCTTGTTTCTACGATTTATGCAAAAATTGTTTATGCCAACTTGAGCACAATTTCTCTGCATTTTCTGGTGACTACATATCACTGTTTATTTGTTTTGTATTAATAAACAACATATGGTTATTTCAGTTGCAAGGTTACGCAAACATTTATGTATTTACATAAAATAAAATGACTATTTACTGTGGCCCCCCAAAATATTCCTCAGCCCTCCCCCCAGCTAAATTCTTCTGGAGCCGGGTCTGGGTACCAGCACCCATTTTAAATCTTTAAATTTAATTCAAACACGTAAAAGAACTTCTAGACATTCCTTCATAAACAGGCTTTAGGCTAGATGTTTGACCTGTAGTTGTTTATTCTGGTGCATGCTCATAATTTCTTCTTGCTTTTATTGTGAAGCACTTTGTTCTGTATCTCAGCATGCAAAAAAAAATGGTTAAATCATGTCATCTGGACAGTTTCTACCTGGAAGTTTGAGCTTACAAACCTTGTTTTTGTCTCAGCGTGTTCGCCACCTTCTCACATGACCTGCTCTCAACGCTCAAATATTCAGGTGCTTCCTCTTCGGTCCTGCGTCTGTTTGTGTCCCTAAAGAAAAACACATTTCTCAGCTTTGACCTGGACAAACTGAAGACTCGTTTTATAAATCTTTAGTGAAGCCTGCAGTAAAACCTGCTGCTGTTTCTGTGGAATAACTGCCTGTGGCCTCGCCAGCTGAGAGGATAAAGACGTGGGGGTCTGGGGGAGGGACGGGGAGCTCGGATGCAGAATATGACCAATAGCCGAGGCAGAGCCTCGAGCATCACACTGTGGGGTTTCACAACGGGACTCCCACCTCCTCAGGAGAACATCTTTAAAGACAGATGTTTGGGGGTTTCCTTAAAGACTTTAATGAGACATTATTCAAGTGCAAACGACACGCTCTGGGTTTTATTTTGACGTTAAAGTTTGTTTTCAGGCTGTAAATCTTTTACACGCTGTGTCTCAGTCTGGACACACTCTGTCCGTTTGTCCCCAGAGCCTCCGGTCACCATCACTAAGCCCCTGGACGACGTCCACACCGTGGTGGGGGAGAAGGTGGAGTTTGAGGTGGAGGTGTCAGAAGAAGGAGCCAACGTTAAATGGTGAGCAGACGTCCTCTCGAGCCAAAAGTCTGACGTTGATACACGGATGGGTAAAAAAAAAGGCACGAAAAACCTTAAATGCACTTAAAAGGCTTCATTAGACTGAGTGCTAATGTCAGTGAAGACTTTAAAGCTGTGTATTTATTGTAAATGCAGCACATTTAAAGAAATACTCTTATTTTTTGTCTGTGAAGAATCTCTCCTGTCCCTGAGGGATGCTCGGCGGTTCCTCTTTAACACAGCCGGGCTTTGATTGCTTTGTTTGCTTCATAAGAGCTAAAGTCCCCGTCAGAGACGATGCAGGCAGAAAATGAGCTTCTTTTATTTTGAAGAGAATTTAAAAACGAGTGAATCTGTGCGATCTTCCACGGACTATTCTGAACTTTCTGCACTTTAGTGTTCACATTTAGGCAGGACCACATGCTAAACTGTGAACATCACTTTATTTTAGCTCAATATTTCAACAACTGACTGAATTTTAGCCATTATTGAATTGATTAGATGTGTTGTCCATCTTGACTTAAACTGACTACAAACATTTATCCCTTGTGGAGAAACATGCATTGATTACAGATCAAAATCCATCCAGGGCGACCTTCCTGGGTGGAGTTTACATGTTCTCTCCGTGCATGTGTTGGTTTTCTCCGGGTACTCCAGTTTCCTCCCACAGACCAAAAACATGCATGTTAGGCTGATTGGTAACTCTAAACTGTCCCAAGGTTTGTCTCGTTTGTCTCTCTGTGTCCCTGTGATGGACTGGAGACCTGTCCAGGATGTCCCCCGCCTCTCGTACATTGACTGCTGGAGACAGACACCAGCTCCCCACGACTCGAAAGAGAAAAACGGGTAAAAAATTAATGAATAAAAAAACATGGGTGGATAAATGGTTTAAGAAAAGTTTTGCTAACAGACAAAGTTGAGCTCATATTGTTAAAAGTGAGATTTTAAACCAAGCTGTAGTGCTCAGATTGTGTGTTAGGGGTGATGCTCAGCTACTACCACTCTAAATTTTAGTATGTCTGTAAAACTGACTGATCCATTTTTGTGTTTAAGGTCACTTGGCTGTGGCAGCCATCTTAAATCAGGTTTACTCAAACAAGGTAATCAGTTTTAAGCACGTGTCAGTCAATTTTGTCCAGTGGAAGATGAGATCATGTTCAGAGCATTTGAACCCAAGTGCAGACAGACACGGAGAGCTCAGGGATAAAAATAAAGAAACTCATTTATTAAAGCAGAAACAACAAAAAGGCTGATGTGGCAGCAAACTTACAAAACAAGATAACACAAGGGGATGTGGAGGGACAGAGCATGATGGCTGTGGGAAGCACAACACACCAGGAAACAAGAAGCTGAACTTAAAGGGACACTAACAAGACACCATGAGGAACACCTGGTGTGATTGGGAGCAGCCGGTGAAGCAGGAGCTGGCAACATCCATCCATCCATTTTCTTTACCCGTTTATTCCATTTTGGGTCAACGGGGGTCGCCGGTGCCCATGTCCAGCAATCACTGTGCGAGGGGCGGGGTACACCCTGGACGGGTCGCAAGTCCATCACAGGGACACATAGAGACAAACGAGACAAACAACCATTCACTCTCTCACTCACACCTAGGGACAATTTAGAGTTACCAATCAGCCTAACATGCATGTTTTTGGTCTGTGGGAGGAAACCGGAGTACCCGGAGAAAACCCACGCATGCACGGAGAGAACATGCAAACTCCACCCAGAAAGGCCCCCGGACCGGGATTTGAACCAGGGACCTGCTCGCTGAGAGGCAGCAGCTCTACCAGTTGCGCCACCGTGCTGCTGAGCTGGCAACATGACGGAAGAAACTCTGAGGAAGGCAGGAAACACAAGAATCTAAAGAAACGACACAAAACAGAACAGATTCTCACAGAGACGTGCACAGACACAGGTAAACACATGATCATCCTCCTGCTTTCAGCAGCGGGTGATAATGAAGATTTTACTTTGAAGTAAAGTTGTTTTAACTCGCAGTAAATTAGCTCTGACAACTGGATCAATGTTCTCTAAGGATTATAAAAAAGATTTAACTGCAAAAAAGAACCACATAAACCATAAGGTGACAAAATGTGTCCAGCAGTCACTGTGTGAGAGTGGGGTGGGGATCATCCTGGACAGGTCTCCAGTCCATCACAGGGACACATGGAGACAAACATCCATTCACTCTCACCTAGGGACAATTTAGAGTTACCATTCAGCCTATAGACATACAATTAGCATCCATCTCATGTCTCGTTCTCTATCATCAGTTTTTGATTTATTAATTAATGCATTTGATCAAAATCTATCAAATCATATACAAATAAAACCCTCAAAATTTCTAAGAGCCACTAACATTTTAATTTAAAATGAGAAAAAAAGTACAAAAAACTCATTTGGATGTTCTTAGTTGCTGTTTTCACATCCAGGGACGGTTGTAGGGGGTGGCCCAGAGGGGTAGCAGCCTCCATCCATCCACCATCTTTTACCTGCTTTTTCCTTTTTGGGTCGCAGGGGGTCACTGGTGCCCATGTCCAGCAGTCCCTGTGCGAGAGGCGGGGGACACATGGACATGTCTCCAGTCCATCACAGGGACACATAGAGACAAACAACCATTCACTCTCTGTCACATCTAGAGACAAGTTAGAGTTACCAATCAGCCTAACATGCACGTTTTTGGTCTGTGGGAGGAAACCGGAGTACTTAAAACCCATGCATGCACGGAGAGAACATGCAAAATCCACCCAGAATGACCCCTGGCTGGGATTTGATCCAGCAACCTTCTTGCTGAGAGGCAGCAGCTCTACCATCTGATCCACCGTGCCTCCCAGTGGTTGTTTCTGTCTCTGTAAAGGTGCCTCCTTTCAGGAAATTTAATACAAATTGAAAACACAACGTGTTCTGATCCTGTTGGTTTTGGAGAAGTTTGAAGGGGAGATGTTTCTTCACGAGTAAAGTTTTAAATCAGGCTCCAAATGCCTAATGAACCCATTAATCCGTCCTCGTTAACCCGTCCCTCCGAATCACGTCGAGCCTCGTCTCTGTGTCAGTCTGCTCCTCTTCCTCTCGTCTCGGCGAAGAGTCTCTGATTCTTGAGGTTGTTTTGTTTTGTTTTTTCCCTGCAGGATGAAAGATGGAGTGGAGCTGAACCGAGACACGGCCGGTTCAAAGTACCGGCTGAAAAAAGACGGGCTGAGACACATTTTGATCATAAATGAAGCCACTAAGGAGGACATGGGGACGTACTACGCTTTCACCAACGGTGGCGACTCGAAGGCAGAGCTGGAGGTCGAAGGTATTCAGCTCCTGTGACCAGACTTAGAGCAAGACAACGTGAAATGTATGCATCTCATACATGTGTGAATGTCCTGAGAGGGTTGGAAAATGATCGTTTCAATCTGCCACAGTGAAAATCAAAGAGCCGCCGAGGCAGCAGCTTAATCAGCTGCTGTTTAAAGTTTATCGACACAGATTTCAGACTGCTTCCAGTTAGAAAACGTAAAGAAAATTCCCTCGGATCAAGTTGACGTTCTGCTTCCTGACAGGCATGAGAAGCAGTAAATTACTCATTACTTATGTCGTAATTAATACGGCTGCGTTAATCCCTTGTATCAGCCGTTCGCAGCGTTCGTCACACTGATTTTATTTTACACCTTCAACGCTGATATCTGGCGCCGGCCGTCAAGCCGTCGGAGCCGCGGCTCGTAATTGATTCCAGCACGAGGAAGTGTCCCCCCCCCCCCCCCACACACACACACACACATTTTAACTGATGAGATTACAGACAACAAGCAAGAATCTAAAATGTTCATCTGAAGACGGTATGTCTAATAATTTACCTCACAAGATGATACAGGAACAACTTGTAGTAATCGCCTGCTGCCAACGTGTCCGTTTATTTAGTTAAATACTCGCCACATTTTTCCTTGTTGGATTTTACTCCAGCTGTCCAAAATAATCTTAGCAAACACAAACATGTGCAGTCTCGTCTATATGGAAATGATTTTTGAATTTTCAGCCTTGCGTCCACACGGAAACGGCGTTTTAGAAAACTCTAAAAGTTTTTTTTTTTTTTTTAACTTGGGTCTACAGTGAGAACATTCGGAAACACCACCCTTGTGTTTTTGTCTGGACAGCCTAAACGCAACCTTTTGAAAACTATGACGTCATAGGCCCACCTCTAACCTGACCTATGACCCAATCATGACATATCAGCTGGTTGTGTTTGAGCTGCAGATGCCGGTTTCTAAACTGCAGCCAAACCTTCACTGAGCAGACCAGGCTGAGAGTAGAGCAAATATAAAAATAAATCCTGTCACACCAAATAATCCAAGACCAGAACAGAGTTATCACTTTAACGAACTGTCCGGGTATGGTCAAATGATTAAGTTGGATCTTAATGTCTCAAAATTTTGTTTCAACTGTTCCCACTTCAGGGCTGTCCACAGTGAGTCCTCCTCCTCCGTCTACTCTGTCCTCTGTCCTCACTCTGTCCTCACTCCAACTCCCTCCATGTCCTCTCTAACTGCATCCATAGATCTCTTTGTCTTTTTCAAGGCAACTGCATTTCTAACATCCTTCTACCAATATACCCACTGTCCCTCATCTGGACATGTCCAAACCACTGTCCCTCCTCTGGACATGTCCAACCATCTTGGTCTGGCCTCTCTAACTTTATCTCCCAGTTGTTCAACCTGTGCTGTACCTCTGATGATCTCATTCCTAATCTTCTCCGTTCTTGTCTCTCCTAAGGAGAACTTCAACATTTTCATTTCTGCCACTTCCAGTTCTGGCTCCTGTCTTTTTGTCCATGACTGTCTCTAAACCAGCTTGTCTCACCACTGTCTTGTAAACCTTTCCTTTGACCTTTGCTGACACCCAGTTGACCCTTAGTACCTGACGTCCTGCATCTTTGTACCCTAACTACCCTCAGGAGGGAGGGCAGTTGGCGTCCAAGTTCAACTTGAAAGAGAAATGTAAAAAAAAACCTTCAGGATTTGCCATGATGGACTTTAATTCTTGTATTCTTGTCCTCCTCCAGATAAGGAGCTGGAGATCCTGCAGAGCATGGCAGACCTGACGGTTAAGGCGGAGGAGCAGGCTGTGTTTAAGTGCGAGGTGTCTGATGAAAACGTTACAGGAAAATGGTTCAAGGACGGTGTGGAAGTCCAGGCCAGCGATCGGATCAAAATATCTCACATTGGAAGGTACGAACGCCCGAGCAGGCACCTGCGAGGGTTGAGGGTTTAGATGTGGAGAAAACTGTCCATCCCTAACGTTTAAACACAGAGTGAACTGTCTGCCAAACAGTTCGGCAAACTATTACTGCGAGGTGGGGGGGTCTTAATCGTTTGACCTATTTTTCACATGGGCTGCAATCTGTGAGGCTCTACCCTCTAAACACACACACGTCTCAAGGACTTGGGCTTTCCCTCACTAATCCCTCCATCAGAGGAGCCTGAACACAAGGCGACCGAGGTCGCTCAAGGTGAAACCTGCTTCTCGTTGCCTCGTGGAGTTTGTTACCGTGGCAACTCGTCCTAACGAGCGCAGCCTCTTTAAAGACATCTGGTTTCATGTCTGCAGGACACACAAGCTGACGATTGACGACGTGAAGCCTTCAGACGCTGGAGATTACACGTTCGTCCCAGACGGTTACGCGTTGACCCTTTCTGCAAAACTGAACTTTCTGGGTGAGGAACAAACCGGCTGTAAATGTGGCGCGTTACGAGTTATGAAAAATAGATTGATGTGCTTCTTTTTCTTGGCAGAGATCAAGATTGAATATGTTCCCATAGAAGGTAAATGTTTTTCTGTTCAGCAGCATGCTGTTCGGCTTTTTGTTGTTGTTTGCCTTAAAAAGAAATTCACTGGAATACAAAAGTACGTGCTTCAAATGTTTCCCGCCTGTTCTGGCTGCTGCCGTCAGTAACTGATGCTTTATTGTTAAGTTCGTTATAATCCTCACGTTGTTGACGCTTGTACCTTTTTTGCAGCAACGACTGAAATAAATCACTGCCTCTCAAACTCAAACCGATTTTAATTATTTGGAAATGACACACCTGTTCATAATCCTGTCATGAAATGTAACTTATCAGTTTGTGTTTTTAGTGATTCAAATAAAACTGCACGAGTGTTTGCACTTTGAACAGGAAAATATACAGTCAGGGTTGTCCAATGGTGAACTGTGGTCCACATCAGAATCAGAATAAGCTTTATTATCATTGTACCGAAGTACAGTGAGATTATGTTCGTACAGTTGTCCGAAAGATGGGCGGAGTGCACGGTGCTGCTGCTCCTAAGAGCGTGGCCTCTTATTCTTGCGATAGACAGCTTTCTCAGTTTATATATATCCCAGGAGAAATTTGATAAATCAACCTGCTTAGAGGCCAAATGTGGAAGTCAGAATCAGATAAGCCACAGTTGTTGATTTTTTAAGACAGACTGTTATTTGTCATCAGCCTTGAGTTCTGCTGGTACTTTTGACCCAAAATGGCCAGAATTGTGAGCATTCCACTGGTCCGTGCTTATACAAGGTTGTTCCCAACATTCTGGCGAGCCCCAAAGCCGCAAGTGGCCTGCGATTCTCACAAATCGCTTCCATCTTACGGTTTAGCTCGTAAATCAGCTGATTTTGAGTGCTCGAAGCACGAGCCAAACCTGCAGACAGGGTCGGCAGCTTTGCCATGTCCGAAACTGCTGCCGCCGTCTTCTTTAATAGCCGATAACATAGGTATCCGCCAGTGTCAAAAAGCAGAAACCCTGCTATCCTGATTCCAATGATGTAAACATCTTCAGCGTCCTCCTGAGACAATACAGAAAGGCACATCACATCCATGACGTATCCTGCCGCGTGTGTCTCAGTGGGGCATGAGGGTTCTCCAGGACCCTGTCGCTTTGTTAAATTTTTTTATCTATTGCGTTGAAAGTCCAGCTGACCAGATCCATGACAGTAGTTTATGTTTCGTAAGATGTGTAAATAGGAGCTCCGATAGACAAGACAGAGCAAAAAAGCAGGAGGAGGACGGGAGAGGGAAGAAAGGCGTCCGTCTTACACGAGAACGAGTGGTGGAAAACAAAAAAGCTGAACCAAAGCAGCCCTAACCTAATTTTTTTTTAAACTTCTCACTTAAAAAGATCCTCCTAAAATTCACATGAATACTGACGGCAACAAGAACACCATCATGGTGGTGGCTGGAAACAAGCTTCGCTTCGACGTGGAGATCACCGGAGAGCCGGCGCCCGAAGTGCGCTGGATGAGAGGAGACCAGGTGAGACCTCGTCTTTCACCTCAAACACTCCTCAGTCCAGATCTGTGGGAGAATCCTGGGAAACTTTGCAGACTGGGGGGGGGGGGGGGGGGGGTCACCTGTTGTGGCAGCAGCAGTCAGAATGTGACACCGTCTGGTTGTCCTTGCGACAGGTGGTCTCTGAGGATGAGGGACGGGTACGCGTGGAGACGGAGAAGACCGTGAGCAGCTTTGTGATAGAGGGGGCGGTGAGAGACGACGAGGGGACCTACACCATCTCTGTGATCAACCCTGCAGGCGAGGACACGGCGGACCTCTTCATCAAAGTCGTGGGTCAGTGGCTTTTTGTTGGTTCTGCTTTCAGTTCTGTCAATTTGCAGACAGTTTACTGTGTGCCTGTTAGCAAAATATCTCACGAACCACTAAACGCCAGCTGACTGAGCTAAAAAAGTACAAAAATGTTTATTTTGCTCAAACAGTTTGACAGATATAGAGCTGAAATTGAATGTGGTAATAGCTGGAAGAGCTTGCACAAGATTGTACTAAGAGTATTTTTCTTATGTCTACGGCAGAAATCCTTCCAGGACTTAATGTTTTACAGAGCTGACTCTTTGAATCCCATCTGCAGGATCCACTCACATCTCTCTCCCATCTTTCCTCACTTTCCATTTTCCAACTGTACCCCGGCTCTCCAGATGTGCCCAACCCTCCTGAGAATGCAAAGTGCACATCAGTTGGCGAGGACTCTGCCACGATCACATGGGACCCTCCATCGTTTGACGGTGGACTTCCTGTTAAAGGTACCGTCGGATCAGGCATCGTGTCACATATTTCCCTCCCAGGAGGAAACAGCTTTTTGCAATCCGCTCAGTTCATTCTGTTACAAAGATGGCCGCCTCCTTCCTGCAGGGTATCTGATGGAGAGGAAGAAGGTCGGCTCGTCCAGGTGGACCAAACTGAACTTTGATGTTTATGAGTCCACCACATATGAGGCGAAGAAGATGATTGAAGGTGTGCTTTATGAGATGAGGGTGTTCGCTGTGAACAGCATTGGCGTCTCTCAGCCCTGCGCAAACTCCAAGCCCTTCATGCCCATCGGTGCGTTGCCACAAGTCGTTAGCGGCACGGTTAATTACCAGAGGCTTTTCACACAGCGCTCATTTTGTTGCAGCTTAACCTGCCGTCCCATCCCATTTATCCCAGGCATTAATGTCATAATTAGCTCTCGTCTCCCTCAGCCCCCACCAGCGAGCCCACTCGCCTCGTGGTGGAAGACGTGACGGACACGACCTGCGCACTCAAGTGGCGACCACCAGACAAAATTGGAGCGGGCGGCATTGATGGCTACATCATCGAGTATTGTAAGGATGGAGGTAAATCTACAACCAAACTGAAAAAATACATATACAT